AGTGATACTACAGGTAAATCGTATGACTTTTTGAATTTCTCTTTACTGGAATGGAGTATAATGGTTATTCGGATTTTACAGGCTGTGTATCTAGGGTAACAATTACTGAGTTCATTTAGGTTAGTTGAGTATACTTGTTTTATTTTATAATTACAATTGGTTAGTACACTGTGTGTATCTAGGGCTATATTACTGAGTTCATGATGAAGATATATTAGAGGTTTCAAAACCAAAGTTGCATAAGTAATGAATTACAACTTGATCTTTATTCTAGTAATAACTAAAGAAAAGTCTCAGAATACTCTTCAGTCAGTCTATTGATGAGAAGATCAAACCTTCCATATCCAAAAAGCCCTTCTCTTTCCAAGATAAAAGGTCATTTCTGATTGCTTTACATTCTAACTTCCAGCCACTTAACTGTTCAATACCAACTGTAAGCCCTGCAATTGAATCATTCCACATGATGCTATTTTTTGGATCCACATTTTTCACAAGACACTTTGCTCCTTCCAGAGTTTCAAGTGCATTAATATACCTACAAATTAACATTTCATGATGTAGTTTCACAAAAAACAAGGCTTGTTTTCTTCTGTTGTTTAGGGTTCTATTTACACAGACATGGTCTAGTTCTTACAAGGATAATCTTTTGTTTGATCCTATATATTCTAGTGTACTACCTTTTGTGTTTTTTAAATTTAGGTTGCAAGTCAAAGAAAAGAGAATGATTTTAAATACTGTGGTTACACTTAAGATGTGGCATGGAGGTACATTTAAGAAGAATGGTAGAGGACAATTAGAGTATGCAGGGGGTGAGTTTAAATGTTTTGAAGTGGATGCTGATGAACTCTGTTGGTTTTGGCTAGAGGAGTTAGCTGGAAAGTGTGGCAAATACAGTAGTATAGATGAAATATACTACTTGATTCCTGGTAAGAGTTTAGAGACAGGTTTGAGAAGTGTTAAGTTTGATGCCGAGGTCAGAGAAATGTACAAGGTAGTAATGCAATACAGTACAGTAGATTTGTACATTAGACATGGACTTAGTTCACCTGAAATTGTACTACTGCTTGAAGGGACTGGGGAAAACAAAGGGGGGTCTGGGGGCAGTGAAGCACACACAACTGCAGGGAGTGGAGCACAAATAAGCCAAGGAGGGAGTAGAGCACAAACAAATACTTCAGATGCAAATGAATCAGAACACACTGAGCAAGATGAAGATGTGGAAATAGAAGGTGAAGAGGAGCTACATGTCCCACTGTTTGGCTCAGATAATGACACAAGTGATGATGAATTTAAAGAGTCTAGAAGAAGAGTTACAAGTTGGAATTCAAAGATTGTTGACATAGCAACCCAACTTGAAAAAGAAGTTGTCAAAGGGAGTAAGAGGCCATCAACCACATATTCTAATGATCAAGGTGAATCACAAGATAATGAATTCGTGAGTGAATATGAAGATTCTGATGAAGATATCCACACACCTCCTGGGAGTGAAAATGAGGACACTCTCCCAAGAAAGAGAAGAGATAGACTTGCTGTGGTAGATGCATCTACAGATTTCAGCAAGCTAAAGTGGGTGGTTGACATGACGTTTGAAAATAGAGAGAAGTTCAAAGATGCAGTTACTAGGTTTGCGCTTTCTCAAGGGAGGAATTTGAAGATTCATGTGAGCAATAAGAGTAGACAACAAAGGGTTGGTGTTAAGTGCGTGGATGGTTGTCCTTTTAGGTTGTATGCTAGTTGGGATAGTAGGAGGGCCAGTTTTGTGGTGAAATCTGTCCAAGGAGAGCATACATGCAATAGGAATATGAAAAAGAACAGGCAATTGAAGGCATCATGGGTGGCAGAGCAGTTCTTAGAGGTGTTTAAATCTAGACCTCAATGGCCAGCAAAAGAGATCATAGAGACCATCAGGAGAGGTTACAAAATACTAGTTCAGACTTCAGAGGGATTATGCATACAAAGTGAAATATCATGCACACAAGAAACTACATGGTAGCATGAAAGATCATTATAATAAGCTAGGAAGGTATTTAGAAGCCTTAACCCAAGTTAACCCCCTTAGCCACTTCAAACTACTCACAGATCCTAAATCTCAGACCTTCCCCCCTACTTTCCAACGCTTCTTTGTATGTTTTAATGGCCTCAGTGAAGGATGGTTGAGTGCAGCTAGAAGAGTTTTATGTGTAGACGGGTGCTTCATTAAAACCTTCTTATGAGGAATGCTTTTGTCTGCCGTTGGGAGAGATTCAAATGATCAAATGTTCCCATTAGCTTGGGCTGTAGTTGAAGGTGAAAACAACTCTAGTTGGGAGTGGTTTTTATTAGAACTGAAGAAAATCTTACGACACTCTGATGGCATTGACCTCACTTTCATTTCAGATGAACACCAGGTATCATATTCTTACTTTTATTATTTTGTATTAACTTTACCTTAAAAGTAATGTAATGTGTTGTTTTTTTTGCAGTCCATTTTGCGTGGAGTGTCCACAGTATTTCCATTGGCTGAACACAGGCATTGCGCACGCCATGTCTTTGCTAATTGGCATAAAACACATAAGGGGGATGAACTGAAAATGCTCTTCTGGAAAGCTGTGAAGGCCTATAATGAAGCAGATTTACAGGATGCATTAGATGAAATGGAAACAGTAAGTCCAAGTGCTGCCATTGCTTTCAAGGCTTGTAATCCCCAAGTTTTCTGTAGAGCTTTTGTTAGATCCAGTAGTAAGTGTGATGTCATTGTGAGTAACATGGCAGAAACATTTAATGGCTACATAATAAATGCTAGAGCCAAACATATAATATTCATGCTAGAAGATATTAGAGGTGCCCTAATGCAAAGGATGGTAGTGAAAAAGCAGTCAATGGAAAAAAGTTTGAGTATGATCTGTCCTAGAATTCAGAGTAGATTGGAGAAAGCAAAACACGAGGCAGCCCAATGTACTCCTCTACCATCTAGCCAAGTATCTTTTCAAGTTAGCCATTATTTAGATACTCTGACCGTAAACTTGGAAAGTAAAACATGTACGTGCAAAAAGTGGGACCTTAGTGGAATCCCATGTTGCCATGCGGTGGCTTGCATGTTCTTCATGAATGCAGCCCTTGAGGATTATGTGAATGAGTGCTATAGTAGAGAGGCATATATGAAAATGTATTCTGGATCTATTGCCCCATTGAACGGAGAAAGGCATTGGCCTAAAGTAGAGTTTCCATTGGATCCCCCACCAATTAAAATTGGCCCTGGCAGACCAAGAAGGAATAGGATAAAACCTCTCCATGAAAATCCAAAGAAACCTGGAAAATTAACTAGGCATGGGGTTGAGATGTCCTGTAGTATTTGTCAAAGTAAGGCTCACAATAAAAGAAAATGTCCTGATAAAAACAAGTCTGTGGAGCCTCAGCCTAAAAGGAGTAGGGGAAGACCAAAAAAACAAGTTCAGGCTGCAGTAAACTCTACAAATCATCATGACACAACAGCACAACCATCAAGGCTTGGCAGAGGAGGAAGGGTCATCCATGGTAGAGGGGAGAACAGGGGTGGCAGTAGGGTGCTTAGGGGGGGAAGAGGAAGAAGCTCACAAGGCAGAGGAAGAGGACAACTTCCTGTTGGATATGGTGTAATCATTGATGACCACGGACATAGTTGGACTAATGTAAGAAAATAGCATTACTTTTACATACAATATATTACTCTTTAAATACTTTTTCTAACTTCACTTATTTATTGACAGAGTCCTGGGCAACAAGGAGGGCCAAGAAGTCTGTCTGATACATGAAGTTTGTGTAGAAGTGGCTCAAGAAGTCTATCAGATGCATGAATATGGGAGTCAAGATTATAAGAAATTTAGTGTGTTTGAGTACATTACGTCTGCCAGTAACCTAGAAACTGGGACTTTGTAAAACTTCATATGAACATGTATTTCATGCTTTTGAGTTTGGTGATTTTCATATATTTGTTAACTCATAAAACTTAGTATTGAGGGTTAAGAGTGCAGATTTCAGATTTTCAGATTCTCAATATTGTAGTGTGGTGATTTGAGACTTCAGATGTTTCTGATTATTCAGGCTTGTTATTATGTCAGCTAAACCACCATATACAATGCATGTGATGATCTGTAATTTTGATCCCTTATCTTGCATTGTCTCCTTGCTTTTATGATGGGTCTTTGTTCTACAGATTCTCAGATTTATAGTGTGGTGATTTGAGATTTCAGATGTTTCTGATTTTTCAGATGCACTGAAATTTACAATGGCGTGTGGTTGGTATGCTCAACTCCTCATAAAAGAAGCAAAAATTTGTATGTTTGTTTAATCACTTTAATTACATATTGATTTTTAAGTATAAATATCAAACATAAATCAGTGATATCAGTGACATTACAGCTTGCTTCTTACCAGAACCATTTTAAGGCACATATAGACAGAAAATCAAATGCTTACATTACCTGATCTTTTGTTTTGCACTTCCCTGTCGCATAATTTCTCAGCTTGCTTCTTCCCAGACTCAAAGACGGTGCAATTTAGCTTACCAAAACCTTCTGTCCAGTTTGGGTTGCTGTCATACTACCATATGTATGACATATATGTGATAGGGGCATCTTTTTTATTGCTTATTAGTACAGTTTATCAATATTTTTCAGTTGGTTTTAAGTGTGATGTGCAGATTTAATAGTGCAGATTTAAGAGTGCAGATTTTAGTTTCATTTTGAACATTAGTTGGTTTTGGAGACTTAAAGTTTGAAGTATGAATCAATCTAGCTTTTCTTTGAACATTCACTTTCTTGATTTTTTTGCAAAGATGTTCATGACTTTTACAACATTAATTAAAATTGATCACACAGACAACTAAAGTTGATCACACAGACAACTATTGTCTGTGGAACACACAACTATTGTCTGTGTGGTAAAAGTTGTCTGTGCACACAGACAAATAATTGTTTGTGCAACATGAAAATATTGTCTGTGCACACAGACACTGCACATATATTGATTGATTTGCAAGTTGATGTCAGTGTCAGGCGGCTGTCAGCGTACTTTTTACAAAAAAGTAAATGTCTGTGGATACAGACAAAATTTGTTTGTGTACACAGACAACTCTTGTCTGTGACCACAGACAATTCCGTACCAATTGTCTGTGACCGACATTTTGTGTACAACTTGTGTACAACTTGTGTACCCCTAGCATGGTTGTTTTAACTTTTTCGATACATGTCTGGCAAAAACTATCATACCACAAGGCCGGTCAAATTAACTGGCAAAATATTCCCATAAGGTGGGCCAGAAGTCGAAAACTTGTTAACATGCCACAAGATCTTTCTTTTATAGGGGTTTGTAGTCGTCCTTGTAGACAATTTGTGCTTTCGGAGACGAACGAGGAAAGCTTAACAGTTTCTTTGGGGCCTTTGAAGCCAAAGACTCATTGATATCTATAGCTTCACGAATGACAACGTGGTGGAGTGCAGGCGAATTTGAGAGTAACAATCTCACAAGGCACATTTCGATTTGGGTTCCTGTAAACTCGTCGAGTTTCACGGTCTCAAGCATCCTCAAATCCTCTTTACTAAGATCCTCCAAAAGTGTTGGATCTGCATTTTCAGAACCTTCCTGAACATTAATCTGCAGCACACATAGCTTGGGGGACTTTTTAAGTAATTTGACCACAAAGGCAAGATGGTAGTTAAAACCAAAATTGAAGCCATCAAGCTTGAGTTCTTGCAGATTTATTGCCTCAGTTGGGAAGACTGAGGCCATCGCAGCAGCCCTCTCCTTAAGAAATAGAAAAAGCAAACAAGAAAGTTAGCCATGACATAAAATTAAAAACAAAAGCGAAGTAAGAAGATAATATTCTATCAATTAAATAAGACTAACCTATACTTAGAAGAGAGATGTAGGCTACTAATGTAATTAATCGAGTAATAAACTAATAAATAGAAGGAAAAATCGCACTTTTAATCCATCAAAAAGTCGTCCTATTAGATGGGAAATATATATCACCTTCTAAAAGACCAAATTTACGATAATTTGGACAATTGAGGGTGACATTACTCTCTCAAATAAGGATCTCACGTACTATCTCTTAAATACATATCTAACAAATTTATCTCAATATATGAAAAAAAGGATCTCACCAAACAGAGATGTAGGGTACTAATGGAGCTCAAATGGAACCTGAGCAATCTGCTCCCAGTCCTCCCTAGAGAACCAAATAGAGACAAACTTTTAAGATTGGGAGCTTTGGCGACAAAATTAGGAATACCAGCACACGTATATATATCCAGCTTCTCAAGCTTGGGCATGCTAAAGACCAGTCTCTTATCTTTACCCCTGAACTCAACCCTTCTGAAATTTGACGACGTCAGCCCGGAGAACATACAGGGAGCATTTGCCGGCAAGTAAAAAACGAAACGATCAAGTGTCAGTTGCTTGATGGTCTTGCATGACAATAGACAGGATGGTACCTTATACTTTTGTCCGGCATAACGAGCAGAGAGGTGAAGTTCCTCAACGCCGTTTCTTGAAAGAAAAAGACACCACCGGTCTATATCAGACTGTTTCGGCGGCGGCAGGACATATGAGCGATATATGTTTAAGGTGAATTTCTTTATAGGTGCTGCCCGGAGGAGGAGAATGTTGTTTATTATGCTTACCGCAGACAGGCGGCCGTCCCGAGAAAATTTACTGTTTTCAACGGAGTTGAAGAAGGCCCTGCCAAAGATGAGCCGCCCTTGGCGGTGCCAAGCATCCCTCCACTGAGTTGAGAGCAGAGCACTTCGGGCGGCGTCTCGAGTGGGCATCCGCTCCAAAATCCTTTCCTTTATCCCTTCCGGCAGTTCGCTTTCTGCAGCTTTATCTCGACTGGAGCTAGGCATGATGGAAAACAGCTTTGATCGGGATCTGGGGGTTTCTGCTTTCCCGAGGCACACAAATTGCAATATTTGAACAAGGATGAAATTCTCAAACATGAAACGTGTCTATTTGATTAGGGCAGGTGCTGTCCAGTTTTGGGCCTATGGGCGATATACTTTTATGGCCTTATTTCCAAGACAAACAATAAATTATACTTACTTAAAGTAAAATTTAGGAAGTATAATAAAACTATGAGATATTACTCTAAATACGACTAAAAACTAGGGGTGGGCATAACGGTTTGGTTTAACCGAACCGTACCAAACCGAACTAAAACGAACCAAAACCGAACCGTATGCAATTTGGTTTGAGTTTGGTACTATTTCTTCCAAACCGTATTAAACCGAACCAAACCGAATCGAAACCAATAAAAACCGAACCGAACTAAAGAAACTCAAAAAGACTTTCATATATTATTAAAATTGGTGGGTTAATTTGGTTTGGTTTGGGTTTACTTAAGTAAACCATTTGGTAAACATTTGCTCAAATCGAATGGTTTGGTACTTTGGTGGTTTGGTTTAAAAATGGAAAAACCGTAAACGGAACCGAACACCGAACAACATATATATCTACTTTGTATTTATCTTCACTCTTCATTGTTAAGATATAAATAAATAATTTAGACATAAAAATACATATTTAAGCATATACTCGTATCATTTTGACTTTTACACATTTCATACATTCATTATGACAAAGTTAGCTAATACGACATATTTTTATTTATTATGTTTGGCGATAACAATAGCAAATTGCATTTATATTTTTACATGATTCATTTGAATAAAATTGTGAATATTACAACATTTGTACCACTAACCCTTTTAGGTTTTTTTTGAATATTTTATGTGATATTATAAAGGGTTTTTTACAAGAATATTACTTAAATAAAACTTAATTACATAAATATGACTATTCATTACTACAACGTAATGTTGTGGTACTAAAAGTTCAAAACTTGAACATGAATTACTATGATTTCATTACTACTCTAGTAACTAATCATATTTTTGTAAACCATCTTTATTTTGGTCATATTTATGCAATTATTTCTATTATAAATACTAATCAACTATCTTATTTTTTTGTAGGAAGTGAATTTTTTGTAGTGATAAAAAAGATGTTAGAAGTTTTAATTTATAATATTTTATTATTTATTTTTCTATCTTTTATTTCCTTTTACATTTTATTTAAATAATCAATAAATTAAAAAAGATGAGATGGACTACTACTTTCATTTTCTAATTCTAAAATATAGAACTTGATCAAATAAAATAATAAACATAAGCAAACGAATCAAATCAAATTAAATTAAACATAATATTTTTTACTTTGGTAAACCGAACTTCAAACCGAACCGAACCGAAACCGAACCGAAACACAAATGGTTTTAGTTTGGTACAAATTCTCCCAACCCGAATAAACCGATCTGTTCCACGAACCCCATCGCCATACCCTGCTTCTGTTCCACAAACCACCGTCCACCGCCATATCCCATAAAACCATACTCCCTCCTCTTCCATATATATATATATATATATGGAAGAACGGTTGGCTTGGCAAATGATAGATCGTCGAGTAGAGAAGATTGATGTATTAATTCCGTCCATTTTCACCGAGTGTTTGAGCTAAATAATTAATTTAGCAGCTTTAATATAAATATATACTGTTGTATATATATATGCAAACATATACAGAGTATTGAAGATTTAGATCAACTAATCGAAGGCATGGAACATTGGAACGTGTGTGTATATATATCCTCTTGGCTCCTTATTTTGGAGCAATAATATGGGTTGAGTCCATTTGACACCTTTACAATACAGAGATGCTATGAACTGCACTACTTACACAGGAAAATCGGAAATCAAGAAAGAAATGGTGAAGGGGGCTGAAAGAGTGAAAGAAAGAATCTCGATAATTAGAGAGACGAGTATATACGGAGTATATTTTGGTGAAGGGCATCTTTGTACTTTAACAAAACAATACATCAAAAATCACTTTTTTTATCAAACACTCCAACTTTACCTTTTTCATTTTAATCACTTCTATTCCCAAACACTACCAACTTTTACAAGAAATCACTTTTTCAATAATCTTTTAAAAAAATCACTTTTAAAAAGCACAAGCAATCGCAAACACTCCCTTAATAACCTATTGCTTTAGTTTTTTATTTGATTAATATGAAAATGTAATATATAAAATATTATTTAATGTTGAGTTTGTATTTTCTTTTCCAATCAACCTTATTTATTTGTGCACTAAAAAATATTCTAGGTATTAATGTTTTGTTTTTTAATTTTTAATTTTAAGATGATTATTTATTTGATTATTAAATATGGTGTGTTAATTACTAATATGAGGTTTGTGTTATACTAAAATGAGTAAAGTGCAAATAAATATGCATGGGTAAATATTATACAAAGAACACGATATATTTGTAATTCAAGAACAAAAAACTATAAATTAGTTTTAATATAAAAATATTATATTTCTCATTGTCATATATAATACTCCCTCCGTTCCCTTTTAATGTCTCGTTTTACCATATTGGGATGTCCTTATTTAATTGTCGCATACCTTATTTGGTAAAGTTTGTGTGGCTCAAAATCATTCTTACTTTATTCTTACTTTATCAATTAATATCAACCACACAAACCCACTGTTCTTAAAACTCGTGCCACCCTCTTCAGTCCAAATATAAAAGGGACGGAGGTAGTAATATTTTATTAAATTGTTAACAACGAATTTACTATAGAAAAAGGTTTGTGGTATAGGTGTGTTATATTCGAATGAGCATAACGATCAAAAGAAATGAGCATACACAAATGAATTTTCGAAACTCATTTTGTAAGTTATGTATACTCATTTGGTATTAGTTTGTGTTGTTTTAAAATGTCATATTCATGCATATTTCAATGCTATCAATTACATTAGATTCACATATGAGCTGATTATAGGCACGAGAGTAGAGATCATGATACCAAATTGCATGTTTCTAATACTCAATGGAGGAGTGTTGGTCCCGTTTAATATGGTAATCAGTCTAGAGGGGGGGGGGGGTGAATAGACTGATTGGTTTTTCAAAATTTTTCTCTAAGTCCAAACTGACTTATCAGAGAAGGTCTTACTCTGGTAACAGAGGAAGGCTGGTTCTGATATCAGAACTGGCCTTGGCAGCGGATTCTGATCTGTCCGGGTAGCCTCAGAAACACTAAGGCAAATGCCTTTCTGGTAACTCTGAAAACAAGATCTGCTGAACACAGATTCCAAGTCTTAGAGTTAATCAGTTAATGTCCTAAGTGCAGAAATATAAATTGCAGTAAAGTAAATGACACCGGATATTTTTATAGTGGTTCAAGGAACAACGCGTTCCTCTAGTCCACTGTTCCACTAGCTTTGAAGTAGATCGGTTACAAAGCTTAGTCCCTAGCACTTAAGAAGTTCTCCACGCCTTCTTCAAGCCTAGCTGCCACCCAGGATGCAGTTCCACTTCCTGATGGCTGGTCCTTTCACTCAGCTTCCCGGAAGTATCACCACTTCACTACTGCAGTTACTTGGACGCCCTTCTTTTCAGAAGATCCTTTGAAAAACAAAGTTTTTCCTCCAACTTGCTTCGTCACAAATGATGTTTGATGAAGTTCTTGAAGAGTTGAAGAACAGGATGAACTTTGCTCGTTGTTGGGGATGAAAAATTTGGAGTTTGAATCTTCCCAACGTAGGACTTTTCTTGTAGAGTGTTATGAAAGTTGAATCTCAAGAAGTATGTTCAGAGTAATGAATGGAGCAAAGGTTCTGCGAAGAGTTGTTTTCCTGTTCTTCGGTGAGTAGCTTATATACTGAGGTTGTCTGCCCGTTGGAGGAGGAGACAACTGCATTAAATGCGCGTACTGTTGACTTGACCGCCGTTTTGGAAGGTTTCTATTTTTATAATATATCTTCCCGGATTCCTTGGTCAATCATTTGCAATCAATCCTTCAGCGTATCAGGCTCATTTAATGTGCATTAAATGCTTTCCATTCATGCACAGTCTTCTAGCCGTTGGATGTTTTTACCCGTTGGATTCATATCTGTTGGATGTTGCTTGAAATCTTCTAAGTGTTAGTCGGGCTCTGATCAGGCTCTTCTGATGTGTTGGATTCTAATGGCTTTCTGAGTTCTGATGGCTTTCTGATGAGTTGAGTTCTGATGGCTTTCTGATCTCTGACTGAACTCTAACTCTGACTCTGATAGGTCCGCTGATGAGTACCTCTGATCTGTAACTCTCATCGGTTATCAGATGTCCAATTTATCAGCAACTCTCATGGTGCAACTCTGATGGACTTCTGATAAGAGAACTCTGATGGAGCAGTTCTCATACAGCAAGTCTGGTCGAGCAATTCTGATGCACTTCTGATCTGATCCAAAGCAGAGCAACTCTGATCGTTGACTACACTAATACTTACAATTGAAAATTCTAATACATAAAATCTAATTTGGGGATACTCTAACTTTCTAATCCTATAGCATCATCAAAATCTAATTACATTTATTCCTTACAAGGAGGTTTGATGCTCAATGAAAATGTCTTGATGTTCAACTAACAAAGCTTATTATTGTCATGTCAATGTTCATTTTGTAAGTTACCTATGCTCATTTGGTATTGGTGTTATGCTCATTTTAAAATGTTACGTCAATGCATATTCCAAAAGCACTATATTACATTAAGTTTACGTAGGAGTTGATTATAGATGCGGGAGAACAAACCATGATACTCAATTGCATTTTTCTAATACTCAATAGAAGATGTTTGATGTTAAATAAAAATGTCTAAATGTTCAACTAAAAAAACTTATAACTTTCATATTAATGCTCATTTTGTAAGTTACTTGTGCTCAATTGTTACTTCTATTATGCTATTTTTTAAAATGTCATAACATTGATTACTCTTATTCAGAAAAGAAACACATGACAATCCTATTTTGAAATTAAAAAAAAAAATACTCCTATTTGAGGAATTCTCCCTACAACTATCCTAATAAAGGTTATAAAATAAAGATGA